TCAGGGTAAAGCCAAATGATGGAGGTGAAGGTGCGGTAGATGCTTCACAAGTCTTCGCGCATGTCACCGGCACGTGTTTCACTCCATGTAGTGTGGCATCGTCCCTTACGACGATCGAGCTCTCAGGTTCTACCACTTTGCACAAACCGAATCATTTAACGTCAACAAGACTGTCCCACCTAAATTGAAGACGTCAGACACAAGAACCGCCACATTCTCTAAACGAAAGTTGCTCCTATGATAATTTGGGCTGTTTGTTTTATGACTTCGGGTTTTTAGTGTGGTTGTTTAACATGGTTGAGCACCAGAGAGTCCCACTTTCCTTCCTCCGTTGAGTTCTCGAGGGAAAAGGAAGCCTATGGGCCGTCAACAGCGATCTGCTCAACAGTTAAGTAATTGTAATGTATTTTTTTCACTGATAAAGTTACTTCCTTGTCCAAAATACATCGCGTTTTGGTTATGGACTGACCACTGTGCTCCACCACAGGATTCTGGAGTTATTCATCACAGGATTCTGACCGAGCCAATGACGCACATTTTTGCCACTACGAGTCATCGTAATCGTGAGATGGGAACTGTGGAGCGTCGCCTCGCTAAGCTTATTCATCTGACATCTCACCGGCAGGTAACAGTGCCTGAAAATTATCGTGACTAAGAAGTGTTACCAACTGATGCATCGGTTAGTGGAATGTCTGCTTCTGGTTTATTTGCTGTCGTTGCAAAAAGCAAAAGTTAATTTCGACTATTTTCGTCTCCTCAGTTTTTTTTTAAGAACAGCGTCATCAGCTGTGTTGTCTCGCTACCCGGGGAATTGTAGCCAGTGGCTCACCAATTTACGGTAATATCAAATATCCAAGAAGAGCTGAAGCAGATTTGACTGCTACATGCTTGGTAGGTTACTGGCCTCTGAAAGAATTATTTTGACTCTTCATCGTCCAGGACTGATGGAATCGACGTACTGTCCGCATTGTGAGACCTCGAGTGCGCACTTGTCCTTATGACTCGGATCGCTGATATGCTTGCGGATTGACAATCACCACCTATGTGCATCATGCGCGCGTCTTTATGAACAGCTGGGTACGAAAAACCACTTGGACCGAAGGGAGGCCAATGTGACGATAAATCAGGCAGTCAATCGATAACGATCCCTCTCGTGCACCGCTTATTACCTTGACCGGCGAACCTGACTGCGCCGAAGCCGAATTTAAGACCAGTTTGTAGGGTCACCTACGACTTCGGGTCCAACTTCAGCACCGCCAGATGGTGTTCGAGCATCCGCACCTGCAGTCGACGACCGATTCCTCTAATAAAATTGCTCTCTGCATGGCTGTGTCATGATCGGCAGATGAGGGGGGACTTCATCCCGTCGGAATATGATATTGCGGGCGCATCACGACGGCGCAGCCAGACTAGGACGCCCGTTTTCCGCCTTACTACAATGCCTGCTTTGCAGTAGTAGTTACTGTCGCCTTCGTTGTCCGAAGTTGAGTTTATTCCTTTTGACTATTAGGTTGCCGGCCCCCTAATCTCCGCCTTCTTCCTTCGTCGACATCTGATGGTCTGGAAAATTTTCGCTCCGCGTCTCATCTACGCTCTCTGCGGTTGCATCTACATCAGCGTAGTGGCCCTTGTTGTGCGCACGGTCGTGGTGCGGCGCTTGCACGCGTCTCTGATTGGTTGGCGCGAAGGCCTGCTCCACCGCCAGTCCTGAGCCGCCAGCCCTCCTCACCTCTGGCCGCTAACATGCTCAATTCCTTCATCCCTGCGCCCTTTTTTACGCCGTTTTCGTGTAGATCAATTTATAGCGTTTATTGAATTCTAGGGGAGGAACAATTAGCCGGTCTTGTTTTTCGTTTTGGTGATGCGTTTTTGTTTACTTACATATGCAAATATACATATACTACATTCATACTACCCGTAGTACTACTTGTTTTTAGAATGGGCATTACGTGCTTATTCCACAGTCGTTGATGTCTTCGACTCGAATGTTCATTGACATTTCGGTCCTGACCCGAAAAAGTCATGTTCCGGAGGTTTAACTCCAAGTCCTGCACTGAGTAATTTCTGAACTTATTCACTTGATTATTCTCTGGAGTTCATATACCAGAAACCGCATAGAGGACCCTGGGTTCTCACTGAAGAGCCAAACCCCTCGCAGCTGTTTCACGCAGCGGCAGAATATCGGCGAAACATGTGTCTGGGCTTTTAGCAAGTATCTATGTCGGGAGTAGGGTATAATATCTTTACCATATATAAACCAACATCAACAATCAGACAGCAGATCATGAGACCCGCTGCCCGTGGACAGAACAATCAGCGGTGGTCTACCGCGTACCATGCTAAGATTGTGATGCAAGGTATGTTGGTGAAACGGGAAAACGCCTCGGCACAAGAATACACGAGCACCAGCTTGCAATTAACCGCAAGGACAAGCTGTCGTTGGTGTATAGCCACACACTAGAACGAAACCACAGTTTCGCCTTTGAGAAAGCGATGGTGTTCGGTCGAGCCAATGATGAAATGGCCAGACTGATGCTGGAAAGTTGGTCCTCGACTGGCACGCCCAACCGAGCCATAGACCTACATCCCGCCTACCAGGCGTTCCGCGCGAGACTCGAGTCAGTCCAGGCAGGGCCAATGGCACGGATGAATAGAGTCGCATGGGGTCGACTGTCGACGCTCGCGGAGAGAGGGGAAGGCGCTGACCGAAAGTCACGTGACCGGCGTGGCACACTGTCTCACGGACGTACTCGCGAAGCCGGAAACATCACGCCTGAGGAACAACGGTCAATCAGCCCGCCGTCTGACGAGGGGGAGGCCGACGCGGCGGCGACCGCGTCAGGCGTGAGGGGGACACAAGGCACGCCAGTCCGCCAGGGCTTGGGATCAGAGAGGCCACAATCAGCCAACAGAAAACAGGCTAGCCAACGTACGTGCGCTGGGCACGGTTATAATACGAGGCATGCGGCAAGACTAAACAAATAAATGCCAGCAGGAAACGCCAGTGCACGACTGATGACGGAAACGAATGTTTCCGAACGCCAGTTTGAATACCATCTGGTCCATGAGACCGCCTTCTCTTCTTTGTCTTCCTCGGGGGATGATAAGCACGGTAGTATATCTGGACCTCGGTACTTCACGCACATACATATATCGCTTATTTGACTGCTCCCATTTTTTACTTCCCGGTTATGAATTCACCCCACGTCTATGATCTGCGGAGGCCCCACTGCATGACAGATCGTAAAAAATTGGACCGACTCGTTGTGGAAAGTGTATGGCGTTAAAAGAGTGTTTTCAGCGACAGTAATCTCTCTGTCTGTCGAACCATCGCACGGGCGTCTGTGTACGAACCTTCAACACGCAAAATCTCACTTTCAGTCGCGTTGGAAGGGTGACCATGAGAAGAATTATGTGCGACTACCAGTGCACACAATCACACGAAAATTGTTCTCGACTGGGAAGCGATCTACTAACTTCCGGATAGCTTCAAGTTCCTAATTACGATAGACCCTCAAGCGGCCTACTTTTTGCAGGTTGAATCATGTTCATTTGATTGGCGTGGTTTATGTGCATGCTGGGCTTCCGACAACAGTTCGCGGAGGCACGTGCCACTCACTGTGCGAGTCGAGCTGATTGTGCAACTCAGGACACAGTTGGGTTGGCAGGCTAGTGCTCTCAACTCCCCCCCCACCGTCTGGCGTTGAATTCCAGCTCTCTGGGCGCTCGTCTCGCCCATGCAGCGGCGACAGCAGCCGAGACAGGCTGGTCTCCCCACCTGCCGTCTGGCGAGACAAAACCCGGTCGATGCGTCACCGACTGCCCGAATCTGTCACTCTGTTTGGCGTCGTCGCCCGTTTGTCGGTCGCCGCTCTCCTGTCAGTTACCACAATGTGTCGTCATGATCATTGTCACCGTTGTCTCGTACCTTTTGTCGCCTACGCCACACCCACTATGGTTCAGGGGAGAATCACGAGACTATTACAGCCTCTCACGAGGTTGTCGGTCCTGCTTTTAGGCCTGCCAACGCATCTGTGGATTGGAGGGGAGTCAGGACGGGTTTAAACTACTGATTGTAACCGCACCAACTGCTGTGGATGGTGAACGCTCATAAAGCGGAGCGCCCACTGGGCTATACCGAGTGCAAGTGCGATGTTACACCAAGTTTTCCACGGTCTCCGATCCGAGCATAGTTTTTGTTACTAACAAAAAATATCCGTCCGGCTTCGCTTTGCTGACACTTCTTGGTTTGCGAGAGATTGGAAAACAAGGAAGCCCACGGTTGGTAACTATTCCTCGAAGAGCAGCTTGCCATGTGGGCTAGTTGCCCAGATGTGTTAAGGAACCTGACCACCAATCCATCCTCTCACCATCTGCTGGCATTTGGCCTATTAAAGCCAGAAATTAGGGAATCTAGCAGCTCGTGATTTCCGTAGACGATTCCTGTTTGGATTTGTGTTTCCATCCGGCATGGAAGATTATCTGGCCTTCGGCCCTTCCGACCTGGTAGTCGTGTATCACTACAGAACTTGATTGCCTGCTTGCATGGTGAAACCTCCGACAGTTAAAAGTTTCAATAAAGTGTGAAGCATCAAGCGAAGTTAATTGGTAATGCATTTACTACGCCGGAACTCACGATGCAATGATAACAGAGTGCCGGCAATACAATGCTTATCATCGGCCCTGGTTTGTCCTTAAATGCTGCATCGCCTTCTGGGGATGGGCAGTCTTTATGAGCAATTAAGGTTTTCTACTGGTTTAAAGCTATTTGGAGACACCGGCATGTAGTTGGTGTCAAGAGCTCATGGCATGCACGTTCGTCTACGTCTTTAAGCAGAGGAAATTACTTGTATGAAATACCTATTTTAATCTTTTTAAGGACGACAGGATGCTGGCATCTGGGTGAGTACTAATTCGGCCGCCTTATTAATTCGCACTGTGAGTAAGTCTCGATTTAAGTTGTACGGATTCGTATTTTTATGATGTAAATGTTAATTCGGTCATACTTGGTAGGCAGCGGGAAGAGCCACACAACGGTTGATGGGGGTTGTCCCCATGTGCCAAGCCTCGGTTGTTTCCCTGAATATGCGGTCGCTCCCTCTGCCCAGAATTTTGACATACTGAAAGGCGAACGTGTGCTCGGAATTGGCGCAGTGTTCGGCCACCAAAGACAAAGGATCCATTCGCCTTACTGCCCTCATGTGTTCTCCAACACGGGCCTGTAGTCGTTTACCCGTCTCCCCAGTGTAGTTGGCTCCGCAGGAGTTACACTGGATTTGGTAGATGACGTTCGTGGTTTCATCTGGTGGCAGAGAGGCCTTAGGTCTCATGACCAGATGTCGTATTGTTGACTCCGGTCGGCGGGCGATGCCGATCCCCAGCGGTCTTAGACGGGAGACCGCCTCAGAAACGCCGTCGATGTATGGAAGCGCCCGCCATATTGTTGGTCGTTCTGTCACCAAACGTCGGCTCGGTCCGGCCTGTCTGCCGCGTTCGATGGAGTTGCGAGGATACCCGTTGGACATGAAGAGGCGCTGGAGGTAGCGTAGTTCTGACCCGTCGCCCGGCTCGCTGCAGTGTGTTTCTGCCCTTCTGTAGAGTGTTCGCACACAACTGCGTTTGTGGCTTAACGGGTGCTTACTGTGGAAGCTCAGGATTTGGCGTGTATCAGTGGCCTTCCTATATACCGTCATTTTAAGGTGCCCATTGTGTTTTCGATGGACGAGAACGTGCAGGAATGGCAGTTGGTTATTGGCTTCCGTCTCCATTGTGAACTGGATGTCAGGGAAAACAGAGTTCAGGACATCATGGAATTCTTGGACCGTTAGCCGCTTAATGATAACGGAGGTATAATCGACATATCGAGTCCAAAATTTCGGCTTATAGGCTGCGAAAACTAGGGTCTCTACTTTTTGGAGAACTGCCTCTGCGATGAAGCCCGAGAGCGGCGATCCCATTGGCGTCCCCTTGACCTGCTCGTGGGTCGTAACTTCGAAGGCAAAGTACGTCTTCAGGCAGAATCTCAGCAATTGGACGAGATGTCTCCGTTTTATCGTCACGTCCGTCTCGTCGTACTGACTCTCGAGCAGCTCGCTGACCGTTTCGACTGCCAGGTCTTACGGAAGCGAAGTGAAAAGAGAGGTCACGTCGAATGACACCATGACCTCGTCCTCGGAAAGTCTCATCCCTTTGATCCGCTCCAGGAACTGAGTCGCTGAACAGACCGTCGTGCCCGCGTCCGAGGTGAGAGACCTCAGGTTTCGGAACACCCATTTATCCAAATTGAATGTAGGTGCGCCGCGCAATGATAAGATTGGCCGGAGGGGCACCCCCGCCTTGTGTACCTTTGGCAGTCCGTAAAATTGTGGTGCGGCCGCGTCTACTGGCTTAATGGCCAGTCGTACCGATTTATTTATTGCCTCGCTAGTTTGCATATCGGCGAGCGTCTTGTCCAGTTGCGTCACCAGCTTCCCCATCGGTTTATCGTCACATGGTAGGTACGCCTGTCGGTCTTCTATTAGGGCATTGGCCTTCTGAATGTAGTGTGCCTTATCCATCACAACTGTGGAGCGCCCTTGGTCTGCTGGTAGAATCACGATGCTGGTGTCAGCCCTCAGTGTCTTGAGAGCACTCTGCTCGGCCTTGGTAATGGTTTCACGTGGTTTGTGCGCCATCGCCAAGGAGGATACCTGCTGTCGAATGAGTTGCTTTGTTTCGTCGGATTCCCCGGTTTGTTTGAGAATCGACTCAACCGTGGCCACGAGGTTGACTGGATCGGCGTCTGTGGTGTTAAAGCAGGCCTCATGACGCAGTACTTTCATTTGCGCAGGAGCCAGCTGCTTAATGGACATGTTGTGCACCAGGACTTCGTTCTCCTCTTGAGATGATTTGCTTATGCTTTGGAGCTTGACCGCCAGTTCGGCATCTCTTGTTGCTCGCAGGTTCCGGGCTCGTTTATTAATCACTTGTTGCAAATGCGCGACTCCGACCTCACCGATGAGTTCGACGCACTTTGTAACCGCCTGGCTAAAAACCCTGTTGTATTTACGCAGTCGAAGATGGCAGTCATGGAGAAGCGCCGGAATCATTCGTCTGCCATACTCAGCCACACACCGTTTCGCCAGACTTGTGTTCACCGGTGGCCTGTAGGACAGGCTCTTCGAAAGCACATGATTTTCAAGGCCTCTGTGGAGGAATTGTATTTGCGCGTACGTAGAAGACACAAGAAGGGTGAATATTTCCCAACGCCGTGCGGACTCAAGCGCTTCGCGTCCGAAAATATTGCTAATAGAAGCGAAGATGCGCGTCCCCGGACATAAATGAGAAGAAAAGGCCATCTCGGGAACCATAGTTTTACTGCCCTGACGTTTCAAAAGCATACAAGCTTTCATCGACGGAGTTGAGTGTGGCATCGCGCCTCACGGTACTTATAGGTGGGTGACAGTCATGTCAAAACGGGTTTTCTTACATATGAAGGCAGGGAGGAAGGGGCGGGGAGGGAGTCCTAGAGCGTCTTCTCGCATGATGAAGCGGGGGGGGGCTGTGGATCAGCTTTAGTGTTCACCAGGGCCTGCACACAGGGCCTGTGGCGGATGGGGGGGAGGGAGGGTGACTGAAAGTACTCAATCGACATCGGGGGCCGGAGCTGAGACGTTGGTGGTCGTCGTCCGTACCTTCATTGACCTTAGCAGTCGTCCAAGGCTGGCAATCTTGTTTACGCCGCGACGACTGTCCGCGATCGATCAGGTTACCCTAACCTGCAAATAGCCTTCCGCCTAAAAGTGCATAACTACTTGGGAAAGGTGACAGACTCTACAGGATACAAAATTACGCGCCTACCACTGCAAAGAATAAAAGTGTGATCTTCACTCTTTTACGTCATGTACCCCCCCCCCCCCCCTTTAGCGAGGAAAGTACTGACTAATGTCAGAAGTCGAAATCCTATGTACGTTCCAGTGAATTTCCACTTTATCGCGTTACTTTGGCAGTTCGAATGAAAATGCTTCATTCTGTGGGTCTTACTGGCTTTCTGATGCTAAGGAATGAGGCCGACACACTTGGCAAAGTAAATTCTCGTCATTTCCATTGTTTGTCTTCCCCACGAATTCATCCTCAGGATAGCCTCGCGAGTTACAATCGACGATATGAAAGCAACACTAAATACTCAACGGTAGGCTGGTTGATATTACGCATTCGGGGGGGGGGGGGACATGACAAGCGGTTGCTTGTTGAAGCACATCGGCGCGTTTATCATCCAGCGGCAGCACTGAATGCGTGCACCACAACGATGGGTTAATTTATAGGTTTGTGAAAGAACTGTTAGGCCGCAATACATCACGCTCAGATCCACTTTAGGAGTACCAGACAGTCAGGCGATTGGCTCCAAAGAGGCCTAATTCATGCGCGAATCCTGGCTGACCAGTACGGATGCCCGCTCGCCTGCCTAAAAGGAGATTCGATCAAATTCGCTGTCCCCTCGGCTACAAAGCTCTTGGCACCCCCCTCTCCCTTCATTATCACCCCCCACACGCCTTAAATGACTGAAACCCATCCTTTCAGTGTAATCGAATTGCATTAATTCCACTTGTCAGACGATTCGACTCCGTTTATCTATTGACCGGGGCCCTGCCTTAGATGGGTGTCAAAATGCCATCAAAACTCTACTGTACAATGTAACACTAGGAGCCCTCCCATTGCAGATTTTTATGGCTACATGGGCGTCTAGGTTAGAAGAAGTGATGCGCCTGTTTTGGGGAATCCCACACGATCGTCAGAAAACCCGTGGATCTACAGAACTGAGCTTAGTTCCTAAGTTCCCCTGTAATTGCCCCAAAACATTCGCTCAAACATAGCAGAAGGGATGTTGCAGTCGTGATGTTGTGCTCATGTTATCCGCTTTTGTGTTCTTTATTATTTGCAACAAAACGAGGTCCTAAATTCTACCAATGTTATGTCAGGTTCTCGGCGTGAGGTTTCCTTAATGTTGAGAAACTCGGTTAACACTGTTCTATATATCGTTGTAATGCGCAAGTATCAACGTTACCCTTGGGTATGGGTGGGTAGGTGGTTGGGTGTGGCTATGAGCCATGCGTGAATTACACTGTAGTGAATAATAATTGAGCAGTAGCGGTCCCGATAACCCTTTTTTCTCTCACCAGTAAGATGAAGTCAATAAGAACGCAGATGCGCTCAGACGCAAAGATTGGCTTAGCATTTAACACCAGTCTACGCGGACCACAGCACATTCGGTCCCTCCCTGCTGGCTGAACCTGACTGCGCCCACAGCTTTACTGGGTCGCGAGGGACATGCCAATGACGGCGATGAATGTAGGCGTCATGGTCCACAAGAAATATGACTCCTCCATCTTGCTCATCTCACAAGTCTGAAATACTAGGCAGTCAAATGGGTCAGAGCAACCTGCCTGTCCGTTTGAAGAGCCCACTGACTGGCAAACTTCAAAGACGGCGTCATTTTCAGGGCGTCATGTTGTATCGAACTTCGTCTTTGAGGAACTGTTTTACCTCATGCAAAACTGCTTTCCACACCGGGTCTCCATACCTTCCGCGACTCAACATGTTCCGGTTACAAAACTGACTAACCTGAGATTTTGCTTCATTTTGCGAGCTCTAAAAACGCCGTAGTAATAAGAAATAGTAATTATAATAATAATTATAGGGATCATTTTACCACCGGAAGGAGAATCGATGTCAGATGCAGGCATTTCTGTCATTCTAGGCTTCTCCGGTTGCCCTTTCGATTTGAAATCCCTCATCAGCATGTGGTCCTCTGCGGAGTCAATAACCCACCGGATCCAGTCTTCACCAAGTAAACCTTCCTGCCTCTTCATACATCAAATGCTTCAGCTTTAAACCCACGGTTTTATTAGATGGCGAGACACATAGCTATGATTCAGCATGTCCGCTTCTTATTGATGGAATCTGACTGGTTTCTCATCTTGTCCAATAAGGTTATCGCAAAATTCTTGGTCATATGAGTCACACATATAGACCGAAACAGATTTCGGTGTAGATACGGCACTACTGATAGAATAAGGTAATAATACAAAACATACAAACATCAACAATGGATACCCTAGACACAGAATCCCTTTGTTACTGTACGAGCAAATCGAATTCCCAGCTCAAGGTCAGAATACAAAAACTAGTTAATTAAAAGAACGCCGATCATGCTCGAAAGAGGGTTACGAAAAGGTGCAAGGGGAATTTCAACAGGGGCTAAATGGGGAAGCACTTGCGAAGAGGACGTGGAGAATTCCAAACGTTGACCAGTTGGATACAACAGTCATCGACAGGAGAGTTTGATATCTTCGAGTGCAATGGGTACTACATGGGTTCTAAATAAAGCAATTTATCTACTTTTTATTGTGGTGTTTAGTAGTAAGTCCTGCTTTGGCGCCTTTTGCAACACTGCGCCTCTCATGCGTACCTACATACACACAAACACGCAAGATAGTTCGACCGTCGATTTCGACGATGTCCACCGTATGCCCCACAGCAGAGGGTGGGAGCAGGGACGGTGACTTGCGCAGGGGTCTATAGTGCCAGTAGACTTGCGCTGCATCTACCACGCTCTCTCATCCTCCCCCGCCTGCGTCCGGTGTCTGTGCAGAGTCACGAAGACAGGAGACGAGGGAGGTCGCAGGTGGATAACTTGGACGGATCCTCACCTTGGCGTTCCACTCCGAACCCCCTGGTCCACACAACAAATGACCAAGATTTGGTCCGCCAAAAAATGGAAGGCGTGACAGTGGTCCCAGTTAGTGCGACGACTGCTGACAACAGGGTCTGCCAGCGCACCCCTTAGATGTTGACCTTTGTTATGGTGCGCATTCCGACAAGGCCTGCCAGAATCTGATGTGGCCCCGTGTTGGTCCAGCGCATCTACCGCGTGTCCTGTTTGGGGGGCACACACACACACTTATCTGTGCCAGTACGGTTCTCGACCAATCACAGCTATCCACACCTGTCAATCAAATTCAAGGCGGAGGCACACATGCCCTCGCCCAAGGCGCTCCTAAGACTGCCCCACTGTCACTCGGGGACGCCAGCCCTCGCAACGCTCGAAGTGGGCTCTCGTCCAGCGCCGCCAAGTTCCTCCAGCCCACTATCTGATCGTTCTGTACAGAATAAGATGCTTTCTATCTACCGGCGTCCAAATTCCTCCCCTTTGTGTTCCGGACCGGGCCTAAAAGTTGTCGTGGCTCGGGTCTGCCTAAGCGGGCCGACAGTTTATCGTTTGCCCCCCCCCCCTCTAAATTCTAATGACCCATCCGTCGCCTAGCACAGTGAACTCAGTGCTGGTAACTTAGTTTCTGTTGATTTTGGATCGAACGTGTAATTCAAAATATCAAAGAGGTCCAGTTAGGATCGGGTGAAGGCCCGCAAACACCAGAGGGATACAGCAAATAACTGCTTTACTTATTTAAGTGGGTTGTAGTCCGACAGGATTATTTCGGTCTGGTTTTCATCATACAAGGTTGGGTCGTCTGTTGTTATACAATAACCTTAGTTCAGAGATTTGAGAAGCGATCGTTGTAGACACCTAATGCTTAGTTTTTAATTGTCCTACTTAATTTCGGTTGCCATATGCCAGTGCATTAGAATTTTTCCGCGAAAACCGAATTTAACAATTATCTACACTTATTCTGCCATTCCTCTATGCATACATAGGCCCCGCCCGTAAAATCCCTACTTCCACCTTTCCCGTAAAACAGGCACCTATGGCTGGTCGTGTGTGTGCGTGTGAGTGTATGGGTACTTAACGGCGTTTGTAATTTGACGGCATCCAGCCCTGAGTGAAGTCCCATTCTGCATTTGGAGAGCGTGATTTCAGTCTCCTTTTCGAGAGGGTAACATGTCAGGAGACTGTATCAGGAATGACTTAACTCCAGGTTTCAAAGTCGAGGTAGTCAGCGTGTGTATGGAATGTGATGTGACAATACACCAGAGCAGACACTATCAAGTTCACTTGACTGATCACGGCCGGACCATTTGCAACGGACATTAACGTCCAACTGTCTTCTGAATCCTGTTCATCTGCAAATTTCAGGGACATTGAAGCATTCAGAGTCAACCGGTGTGATCTGACGGTGGAGCGGAATCAGGGTGCTGTCTGTTTTATCTTAGAGCACAGACTGATGACAGCTCAGTCGTTCGCATAGTGATAAGCAATATTAAAACAAATCATTGCGCTTGCCAGCCAGTGGCTACGCTGCCACCAAAACTATCATGGATAGTGATATTTCTGTCATTACCTCCCATAGTATTATAAGTGTTGCTACTGCCGTTGCTGCTGCTATTACTTCTACTACTATCACTATTGCTACCTATACTACTACTACTACTACTACTACTACTA